TCATTAAGATGAAGTGGTCTGGGTGCCTATAGTGGTCCTTTAATAAAATATAAGGCATACCTTTTAATGTTTCTATTATGCAGGCTCAACAAAGAAATACATTTAAACAATCCATGAAAAAAAAACACCACCACAGCTCTGTGATTTACAAATCACCAGATAATAGCATAATTATAGCATAAGAAGGAAACTGGATACTAATTCAGTTATAAGACACAACATAGTGGCTCTGAGTCAGCGAGCCTTTAAAGAACTTGAAGCTCAATGAACACAACAGCTCATTGTAATGTTTATGAAGTAAAGGGTATTTGAATTCTCACTTTTACCACACCAAGCTCTGTGTATCAATGAGGATGTTGGGCTAATCCATTACCACAGCTGTCAAGCCATCCAAAGTTGTATTTTCTCATTCAAAGATTTTCATGTGGGATCAGGCTTTATGGACCAGGAGTGAACAGCTTTCTCCAAATACTCAGAAAACATTTTGACACAAATGGTGGTGGTGGGGGGGGACCTAAATGGTTATTATACTTTAACCCCTTAAAGACAGATGACGGAAATATTCCATCATGATTCCCTTTTATTTCAGAAGTTGTGTCCTTAAGGGGTTAAAAACAGGAACTCCAGGCAACAGTGGCCCCCCTACTGCTTCTACGTAGCTAATGTGAACCTTCCATAGAGTACTGGTCATTCGCTAGTGCAAATATTTGTTTACTGTTGCTAATTTCAAGATCACAGATTTCTATAAGAATCCTAACAGTTTGCAGGTACCACCACTCAACGCGTTCTGCTTTAAAAAAAAAAAAAGGAATTGCTGCTTTATTACTTCTGTTGTGTAAATCAATTAAATGTGTATATTTATGTACAATCATACAAAATAACTATATTTCAATTTTAATTGTAGTCCATCCCACTTGTAATACTTTATGAAAGTTTGTTGAAAGGTGACAGATAAATATGCTACTTATTGGTATTACCTTTTTACATCTTATTAGCACTTTTACAGGGACAGTCAAAGACACACACTATTACTACTCATATGCCAGCATAAAAAGATTTTGAAACTAAAAATAGGCCAACTATGGAAGCTGGCTTTAAAGCGGCACTGTCATGCCGAACTTACCTTTCCCCAATCGATTCCTCTTCTCTCCCTGTGTCAGGATCTGTTCTTCATTTCTTCCTGTCTGCTCTAGTTTTCTTTAAAACATAAGACAAAGTAGGGACTATTTCTCTTCTGGAGGTTTCCTACGCCATGACCAGCTATGACCAGCGAAGGAGCAAAGTGTGCTTCGTTTCTGGTGGTCAGAGCAATTTCCTCACAATCCTTAGCTTTCCTCCCTGTTCCCACGATGCTTCCTGTCGGTATTGCCGAACGTCTTGTCACTTAGACAGAACTCCGAATTGCGTCCTAACAGAATGAGGACAGTTCCTCCATTCGTGTTAAGACGCAATTCGGGGGTTTGTTCGTATCGGAATTTCATTAGAAGGAATGAAACTCCAATCCTATTCTTGCAGCCGCTTAGTAGATAACTCCCTAATTCCCACGGTATTAGTGAGCTATCTACCAGAAGGCTGAATAAACCTACTGTTCCCCCACCCGCCCCCCCCCTCACCTCTGCGCGGTTAAATCACAATGGGGGGGGGGCGCCTACTGTCCTCTCCCCCCCCGCCCCCACCCCTACGCAGTGGGTGGGGGCCATAAATGAAAATTAGGGGGGGACCTACTGTCTTACTGTCATGTTCCCCCAGCCCCCACCCCTGAGCGGTGGGTGGGGGCAATACAGGAATATTGGGGGGGGGGGGGACTACTGATTTCAAGCCAGCCAATCAGAGTGTTCTTAGCCTAATTGCACGGCAGGGCAAGGCTTTATAAGCCTTCCCCCGCCCTGCAGAGCTGTCTGCGCGGAGCCCTCCACGGGTGAAGATGGATTCATTTTTTTAGTGTCAGGTTTTTTATTTTATTTTATTTTTATTTATTTTTTTTATTATGGGTTTTTTTATTTGCCTTTTTTTGGGGCTGAAAAATTAAGATTTTAGAAGAAAGAAGACATCAAATGGTAAGTTTTCTTTTTCTTTACATGTTAGTTATTTTATTCCCCCTTCACTATTTTTAGGGTGAGCGGGGTAGGTAGGAGATAGTTATTATTGGGGGGGGGGGGGGACTAGGGGCTTGGGGCCCCCTAGTCACCTTTGAAGGGGATTTGTCATTTAGGGCCCCCACCCATCGCCCAGTGGTGGGGGCCGGGCAGGAGGATAGTAGGTCGCCCCACTCATTATCTTTATGGCCCCCACCCACCGCTTGATGTCAGCCAAGGAGGCAGATCAGGGGCAGAGCCAGCACCAGCAGACGGGAATAAAGGTAAAGGGGCACTAGATGGTGTTTTTAACACTAAAGTGTAAGGCATACAAGTTTGTGTTCCTGACCCTATACAGGGAGTGCAGAATTATTAGGCAAATGAGTATTTTGACCACATCATCCTCTTTATGCATGTTGTCTTACTCCAAGCTGTATAGGCTCGAAAGCCTACTACCAATTAAGCATATTAGGTGATGTGCATCTCTGTAATGAGAAGGGGTGTGGTCTAATGACATCAACACCCTATATCAGGTGTGCATAATTATTAGGCAACTTCCTTTCCTTTGGCAAAATGGGTCAAAAGAAGGACTTGACAGGCTCAGAAAAGTCAAAAATAGTGAGATATCTTGCAGAGGGATGCAGCACTCTTAAAATTGCAAAGCTTCTGAAGCGTGATCATCGAACAATCAAGCGTTTCATTCAAAATAGTCAACAGGGTCGCAAGAAGCGTGTGGAAAAACCAAGGCGCAAAATAACTGCCCATGAACTGAGAAAAGTCAAGCGTGCAGCTGCCACGATGCCACTTGCCACCAGTTTGGCCATATTTCAGAGCTGCAACATCACTGGAGTGCCCAAAAGCACAAGGTGTGCAATACTCAGAGACATGGCCAAGGTAAGAAAGGCTGAAAGACGACCACCACTGAACAAGACACACAAGCTGAAACGTCAAGACTGGGCCAAGAAATATCTCAAGACTGATTTTTCTAAGGTTTTATGGACTGATGAAATGAGAGTGAGTCTTGATGGGCCAGATGGATGGGCCCGTGGCTGGATTGGTAAAGGGCAGAGAGCTCCAGTCCGACTCAGACGCCAGCAAGGTGGAGGTGGAGTACTGGTTTGGGCTGGTATCATCAAAGATGAGCTTGTGGGGCCTTTTCGGGTTGAGGATGGAGTCAAGCTCAACTCCCAGTCCTACTGCCAGTTCCTGGAAGACACCTTCTTCAAGCAGTGGTACAGGAAGAAGTCTGCATCCTTCAAGAAAAACATGATTTTCATGCAGGACAATGCTCCATCACACGCGTCCAAGTACTCCACAGCGTGGCTGGCAAGAAAGGGTATAAAAGAAGAAAATCTAATGACATGGCCTCCTTGTTCACCTGATCTGAACCCCATTGAGAACCTGTGGTCCATCATCAAATGTGAGATTTACAAGGAGGGAAAACAGTACACCTCTCTGAACAGTGTCTGGGAGGCTGTGGTTGCTGCTGCACGCAATGTTGATGGTGAACAGATCAAAACACTGACAGAATCCATGGATGGCAGGCTTTTGAGTGTCCTTGCAAAGAAAGGTGGCTATACTGGTCACTGATTTGTTTTTGTTTTGTTTTTGAATGTCAGAAATGTATATTTGTGAATGTTGAGATGTTATATTGGTTTCACTGGTAATAATAAATAATTGAAATGGGTATATATTTGTTTTTTGTTAAGTTGCCTAATAATTATGCACAGTAATAGTCACCTGCACACACAGATATCCCCCTAACATAGCTATAACTAAAAACAAACTAAAAACTACTTCCAAAAATATTCAGCTTTGATATTAATAAGTTTTTTGGGTTCATTGAGAACATGGTTGTTGTTCAATAATAAAATTAATCCTCAAAAATACAACTTGCCTAATAATTCTGCACTCCCTGTAGTGTTCCTTGAAATCACATAATATTTTTTATATATATATATTTACAACTGCTACAGCAATCTTTATCAGGAACTTTGAGCTAATGTAATACTGACAGCGAAATGGTGAAATCCATTCACTTCTCCATCCCTCCTTGACGGTAGGAATTATATCACCCATTCCTTTATAATTGTACGGTTTGAAAGTAGGTGCAGTTTTGCAAAATCCAAGTGAACTTTAAGTGAGGAGAAGTTTCCAACTGCTCAGTCTGCCATAAAGACAAGATCGGTGGAGTATTACAGGGATAATGGTCCTTCATATTTCTCCCAGCTCCACACATGGTCTCTCAAGCTCATCCAGAATGACAATCAGGTTCTTGGTCATCTCTCTTACCAATGCCCTCCTCAGTTAGGACAGCTCTAGGAAAAGTCCTAGTTGTTCCAAACTTCTTCCATTTAAGAATTATGGAGACCACAGTGCTCCTGGACACCTTAAATGCAGCTGGAGTTGTTTTGTAGCCTTACGCAGATCTGTGTCCAACAATATACTTTCTCTAAGCTATGCAGGCAGTTCCTTTGAACTGATATGTGTGCACAAACCACAGTGCAATAAGTGCTCAACAAATAAATAGCAGAAAAAGACCTCCCTGAATCAGGTAGGATTTCCCCGAAGACTTCCTCCTGTCTTCAACAGAACATGTATAGAAAAAAAGGGGACGATCTGCTAAACAAATAACAAGAACAGTGCATAGCGCATAACTATGTATATGAATAAACCAAATGTGTAGTTTTCAAATGGCCACTCACACTTTCGTTGAAATATAAATGCCTTGGAACTGAATTGCTCTTTTCAGCAAAATTGCTCTTTTCAGCATAAATGCCCTTCCAGGAATGATTCTTCCACCACTTTTAAACTCTCATGGAATAGTTAAAAGGTGTGTGCTCAAAGAAAAAAACAGAACTTGTAGTACATATTTAAAAATGTAGAAAAAATAATTTAATCACTTACATCTAAATATAAAACAATGTTTTTTTTTCAGTTCGACGGCCGATATCTATGACGTCATCCTTGCATGTGGATGACGTCATAGATATCGGCCGTCGAACTGAAATTTCAAGCACCTGATTCGGATAAAGAGTTTTGTGGACATTGGGGGAGGTATAAAGGGTGGTGAAGGGAAGGGTTGTTTATTGTTCATTTGTATGCTGTCATTTCTGGTCACTGAAGTCCCTGAGGAAGTCCTACATACGGACGAAATGCGTAGGACCCCTGGTGGTGACAGTGAGAATACATCCATTGTTTTATATTTAGATGTAAGTGATTAAATTATTTTTTCTACATTTTTAAATATGTACTACAAGTTCTGTTTTTTTCTTTGAGCACACACCTTTTAACTATTCCATGAGAGTTTAAAAGTGGTGGAAGAATCATTCCTGGAAGGGCATTTATGCTGAAAAGAGCAATTTTGCTGAAAAGAGCAATTCAGTTCCTTTGAACTCATTGTTTAGTTTGATACATTTACAGCTGAAAGACCTTGTCTACACAGGTATGTGTCTTCCCAAAGCATGTCGATTCAATTGAATTTCCAATCAAAGTCAAGAAGAAACATCTTGAAGACGATCCAGAGAAATTAGATGCACCTGAGCTAAATTCTAGTGTCATAGCAAAGGGTCTGAATGTGTCAATGTGATATATATATATATATATATATATATATATTTATATTTATATATTTTTTTTATTTTTTTAAATAAATTTGCACAGCTTCCAAAAAGCAGGTTTTTTATTTGTCATTATAGGGTATTGAGTGTAAATTGAGGTGGAAAAAATAACGAACAAATTGTAGCATAAAGCAGCAATATGTGAAAAACGATAAACTACTGGAGCGTTCAAAATGAATTGTATACTGTACTTTGATAGTGTCTTGTCAATGTATAGGTAGGCAGAGAATGGCATACATTTGGTATAGGAATCTAAGTGCAAAATTTGTAATTATGAAGCTGTTCCTGCAAAATTTATTTATGCAATTTAATTCATAATTACAGAGCTATCTGATATTATAATCAGCATTAATATAGTGGCAGCATTTCCTATAGCAGCTTACAAATAAATAGTATACAACAGCAAACTATTGCCAGACAGAAGAAAGTTGACAAATACATGAGGTAAAGAGGACTTTCCTCAAAATGAGCTTACAAACTAGGATGTGTTTTGGGGTTTTTTTGATCCAGATTGCCTGCTTGTCAGTATGTGGACACCTACGTTTCTTTTCCTTCTAGAGACGTATACATGTAATGGGAAGCCATCTGTACATTCTTTACACATGGAGTGCAGACCTGTTGTTCTCCTATAAATAGCCTATATTGGTGAAATGATAGCCAAGATACTCCAGGTCAACATTATGCTAAATAAAAAATTTTACAAAAAAATACGTAACACCAGAAAAAAAATTATATGGTGATAAGTTATCAAACAGTGAGTTTCGACGTATTGAAAAATACAAATAAAAAAAAATAAAAAACAGTTTTGACAAGCTAAAAACAAATTGCAGTTAGCTGAAAACTACAAACGGCATCTTGCATTTTGTACCTTTCTCTTAGTTCCCCAAAGTTAGGCATCAGAGGAACTATTAGGAGGGGCGGGGCCTGCTTGCAATGGTGACAGGATGTGTTACCAAAGAGCTCCTCATGCATCTCTAAAAGAACCCTGGCAAACTGCTTTTTTGGCTTCCAAACCAGGGAAGGCACCATCAGCCTGGATCCCAGAATCGACTGACTGGTCGGAGAGTGTTTCTTGCAGTCCCCTGAAGCTGTTAAGCCCACACACCTGGTTGGAACTCGTATGGCCTGGCAGGCACTGTGGAAGGGGGAGGCAGCCGATCTTCCAACGCGTCACATGAGTGAACAGAGATGGCGTCCCGTTACACCCATCTCCCCCCCCCTCTGAACTGGCAGGGGTGATCCAGGCATTCTGGCAAAGGTTGAGCTCCAGACAGCCCATATCTGCACCACAGGCTGACTGGAGGCATGTAAGCAGATGGGAGAATCCCATACCTAGACAAGCGCCAAAGGCTGAGTAGACCACATAGGCACGTCAGGAGCCCAGTGGAGACTGGGCAGACAACCAGGTGGATCGAGCTGGAGGAGAGCTTGCACACCGTACAGAGGTGTGGAGTGAGGAGTGGAAGCTGTCTACCAATCCTGGGCATACCAAAAGCAACTGTGATACGGTGCCTGAGGGCTAGCGCCAGTATGGGGTACTGTGTCCTTGCAGGGCATAGGTTGAGCGATCTGAGCCCCTATATGCAACCTACCTCACAATTTGTCTGAGCTCTGGTAGTGTCCCCTTCTTTTTTCTAAAGTGAACCACTGTTAACATGCATGCCAACAATCCTTGTCCATGAAGACCCTGGACAATAATAGAATTTCCACAAGCTGTCTGGGGTGGACCACTTTCATCTCTGTTTATTATCTGCTAAGCCTATACTTTTACAATAATGCATTGTCAGTTAGTGTTGGCTGACTTATAAACTGCTGTCTATTGACTCCCTGCTGACATGCCTACTATCTTATCTCTTCTCTGACTAACCGGACTTCATTATTTCTTTTAAAATTGTGCTGCCACTTCATACCACGGCAAAGTTGTACCTGTTTTCTAAATGCTTGCTCATACTGTAGTGGTAATGCCAGCCTGTTTTGTGGTTGTATGCACAGCAAAAATAAAGAATTTTTTTTTTTTTTTTTTAAACGAAAAGTTTGAATAGTGGAAAACAGGCCCTGTATCAGTACAAAATCACAACTGTATGAGAAGAGGGAGGCAGGTCAGCAGGAACTAATTTTAACACTGCATGGTTATTCAATTAAAATGTGTATTGTTAGGAATTCAAGGTCAATTTAAATTGCAATCCATGGGAAAGAGAATGTTTGCAGTATTGTGTTATATTTAAATTGCTTTACGTAACAGTTCTGCTTTTACAGGAACTTGTGGAGATATATATATATACATACATACACACATATACACACATATACACACTGCCTGCTACAGATAGGAGCTGCATTCCGCAACTTAGCAAATCTCTTACCCCTCCCCTCTACCTGCTCTCCACATTCATCACATGGCAGCTGAGACCTTTTCTAAGCACATATCAATGCAATGCTTTATATAACATCCACAATTTGAAGGCGACAGTTGTTCAGTATTATACCTGCAATCTAATATTTAAATTTCCATGTCATCACAGTACTACTTCACTAACTATGACTGGCAGTCACTGACATTTCTAACAATTAAACTAGTTGGTTACTTTCAAAAATATACTTGCACAAACCATATTTATTCATTAAAATAGTTTTTATTAATTTATCTTTTGACTTTTTCATTTTCTATAGTTCCTTGAGGACAGGATCCACCTAGATTTTCAGGATAGAAATCCTATACTTTATAATCTGGCTCACTACTGTAAACGTGAAATGAAAGCTGAATGATAGACTAGCTTTGGAAAAGCCATTTGTAATGGACATGTCTAAAGAAATACAATTACAAGTCTGATTCTAGAAATAGAGCCGTTTTATGAATGTTTAGTTATAGAAATGATAGTGTTGAGTTTTAACTACCAATTACTGGACATTAAAAGGTATTTGTTACTCAAGTTGCCAAAGAACATTTCAATTTAAGTAGTTATTTAATTTAAGTGAATACATCATATTTTCACGTGTCTTAGCAGATCCTCACGTGGAGCGAAATGAAAAGAATTTAACAAAGTTCTTACAATATTATGCCCAGACCAACCCATGAAAAAGTGGTGACAGCATGTATAACTTTATTTACAAGAAAAATCTAATTTTATAAAACAAATTTTGGAAAACAAAATCAGTCCTTTAGTCCTGAGAAACAGGAGGTGCAAGTAACACATTATTTAAAACAGCATCCATCATCAATTAATTTATTCTTAACCCCTTCTTCCCAAATAGCCGACTTTTTGTCGTCTAAACGACGCTGGACGTCCTCACACTATGCATGAGGACCTCCAGCATTGCCAGAATCCCCATAGGAAATTATTGAATAATGCGGGTTTTTTTGTGAGGTGTAATGTGTGCGCGCGGCCATTGTCACACATGCGCATTAGGTCTGCCCTGCCGGCGGGGAAGGAGTGTGGGCGGAGTCTGACCCTGCATCATGAGACATCGGTGCTGGATTCAGGTGTCTGAAAGGGTTTTAACCTCTTCAGCGATGTGAGATGGGGGGCGGGAGGTGGCACTCCAGGATCCTCTAGTGCCAGGAAAACGGGTTTGTTTTCCTGGCACTGGAGAATTCCTTTAATCCTGTATGCAGAGGAAGTGAATGCAAGGAGAGGAGGCAAAATTTTGTTACATAGGTTAAATAAAATTTTCTAACACGTGTTAACACAAATTTATTTTAAAAGACGGAGGGAAATTTCACCTATACATTGTGCAAACAACAGATACATTTTAAAGCACAGCCGGGTATATATTGTAAATATGCCATTCAAAACTGCTTTGCATGCTTCAGCAGTGCATTATGGAAAAGTTATGCCTAAGAAAACATGGCAAAATATCAGTACCAGTTCCCAAGTCCTATGCTAGCAAGGGTGTTTATACTTCCTTCTGCAGCACATCTCACCCTAGTATATGTTCCAATAGCATGTACATGAGACAAAATGGGGGGAAATTCACAACTCAATAAGGTTTAAAAGTATCTCTTGAAGATCATTAACAGTTAAAGGGACACTATAGTCACCAAAACATCCTTTGCTTATTAAAGCAGTTTTGGTGTACAAATCCTTTCCCTGCAGTATCACTGCTCAATTCTTTGCCATTTAGGCGTTAAATCACTTTTTTTATGAACCCTAGTCACACGTCCCTGCATGTGACTTGCACAGCCTTCCAAAACACTTCCTGTTAGGAGTCAGCTAATGTTTATACTTCCTTCATTGCAAATTCTCTTTAACTTAAAATGTATTATCCCCTGCACTGTAGATAGCTTGCTAGAACCCACAGAAGCATTCTGTGTATGATTAAAGTTTGCTTTAGAGAGCAGGCAATATAAACTTTTACAGTAAGCTACATCTAATTGAAAGTGAAACCATTTATT